ATAGAATTGGAATTGGAATAGAATTGCTATTGGAATTGGAATAGGAAAAGAATAGAGAAGCAGAATAGAATAGAATTGGAATAGAATTGGAACTGGAATAGAATTGGAATTGGAATAGAATTGGAATTGGAATAGAATAGGAAGAGAGTAGAGAAGCAGAATAAACAGAATAGGATAGGAATAGAGTAGAGAAGCAGAATAGAAATAGAATAGAAATAGAAATAGAATTATGTTTGACAAAGCCTGGGTCAGAACAATCAATAAGAGAACCAACCAAGAACTAAGGAGAAATTTCCTGACAGCCAGAACAATTAATCGGTGGAACGGTTTGCCTCTAGAAGGAGTGAATTCTCCAACCCTGGAAGTTCTTAGGAAGAGATGGGACAACCATTTGTCTGAGGTGGTATAGGGTTTCTTGCCTAAGCAGGAGGTTGGACTAGAAGACCTCCAAGGCCCCTTCCTATTCCTCCCCTACCCTATTCGAAATACTAACCATTTTTCAATAAAAGCTCAACTGCATTTGAGATCCGGTTTTCATCCAGTTCAGAGCTCTGGTGCTTCGTAGCCACACCGGTATTCCAGAAGGAGGACCAGGGCATGTGCTTTGGTATCTGGCTGCGTCTGATTCCTTCAGGCCATTAATTTGCAGCTCTTGCAGGAATAAAGACATCCTTATTAAAAGGATATTTCCAGTTTTACATTGCTCATTCCGAGCCCTGATCTCTTGAGCTTTTTAAACAGACACGATCCTGGCAGATTCTGACATTGACCTTATTTTTCGTTGACTGTGTTTCTTTTTTTAACGTTTGGCTGTCTATTCTTGGGGGATTCGGGAGGGGTCACACCACAGGATCGTTGCAGCTCTTCCGTGCTTCATCCGTCAAGGAAGAAAAATACAGGCCACACATTGCAAAAAGTGAAACTCACCTGGCTTTTCTCGTGTCTCCAAGTCCGATGTAAGGACAATTCGAGAGCAATTTCTTGATGCACCTGCCTCTCATATTACCCTCTGTAGACGATTATATAGAAGCCTATACTGTATACTTCTACAATATTTTAATTCCCTACTTACCTCTCTGCCTACCCCAGCACCTATCTTATTGCCAGGGTTCCTAAAATTGACTTGTTTTCAAACGTTTGTGCTAGCCCATACGGCTAAGCTTGTCTGTAGATAGTCTGAAATAAAATAAGAATCTGCCCTGTTTTTAATATAAACTTACTCCTGGTTAAGAAACTGGTAGAGCCGACAATATTGCCAAGTGGGTGGCATTCTGTTGTGGTTTGCCGGCAGCGGGTGCGGACGGCTGGGGTCTCGGAGAATGAGGACTCCGGTGAGGGGCCTGCGTGTGATGTAGGGATGGGACCAGGACTACCAGGGATTGGAGTGCTGCCTTGGGAGATTGTGGAGGCTGGTAGCAGTGATGAAGAGGTTCCTGAGGAGCCTGTGCCCAGTACACGTGCGTGCAGGCCTGCTTGAAGGAAAGAGCAGCTGCAGCACCATGGGAGACTTGGGAGTAAGGCTGCAATGTAATGGCCTCTCCCTGAGAAGATAAAAGCCAGCTGAGAAACCGGAGTTCTTTGCAGGAAGCAAAGAAGTTTTTGCACTGAAGCCTGGTGGATGTTCAGAGTATCTTGGTTGTTGATTGGAGACTCTTTGTGTTTGAAATATTTCTTAGTAGCTTTATCTAGTGTTCTTGGCAGCCTTGCACAACCTTGGCAAGGCTCGTTCTTATCAGAGGTAATTAGTTTGAAACAGCCTTTTAATCGGGAAGGAACAGGATTCGTAAAGAATCATTAAAAAGGTTTTGCTGTTACCTCCGTTTCGTGTTTGTTTCTTTGGAACAAGGTTTGGGTCAGAACACATTTCTATCCACATCTTTTTTAATTACTGGGAAGATTGAATCAAGAATACACGATGCATGGAGTTGGATTACTGCATACAGGCCGTCCTCAACTTACAGTCACAACTGAGCCCAACATTTATGTTGTTGAGTGAAAAATTTGTTAAGTGAATTCATCCCATTTTGCGACTTTTCTCACCGTGCTTGTTAAGCAAATCACTGCAGTTGTTAAATTCACAACAGGGTCGTTCAGTGAAATCTGGGCTCCCCCATTGACTCTGCTTGTCAGACAGTCGTAAAATGACTCCTGAACACGGCTACCATCATAAATATGAGTCAGTTGTCAAGCATCTGAATGTAAATTGGTGCAGGGATGCTGCAATGGTCATAAGTGTGAAAAATGGTCATAAGTCACTATGTTCAGTGCCGTTGTAACTTCAAACAGTCACTAAGTGAATTGTTATAAGTCGAGGACTACCTGTATTGATTCTCATGTCATTAAGGGTATATGTTCAGTACTTCTTATAGTTGGCCTAAATAGTCTAGATCACGGGTCGCCAACCTTTTGGAGTTCAGGGACCACCAGATTCATAATTTTAAATCCCGCGGACCAGAGACCGTTGGAAAATCCCCCCAAAAGTCTGCAGGAAAATTCCCCATCCTGTTTTTCTACCAATTGTTCTTTATTTGGGATCGCAAGATACCATCTCCAGCTCTGTTCCCAGGAAGAAAGAGAGAGAGAGAGAGAGAGACTTTTGGCTTCATGCAAGGAAAGCAGCAGAAGTGGCAGAAGTCTTTCTTTCTCTCCCCCAAACTCTGCCAGAAATAAGTCTTTGTGAAGCTTGTTGCGCTGGCGCAGCCTCTTGGAGTAGGTTGCCATCTCTGGTGGAGTTTGGGGGAGAGAAAGAAAGACTTATTCTGCTTTCCTTGCATGCAGCCAAAAGCAGAAGAAAGAAGTAGAAAGAAGCAGCCCAGTGGCTAGGCGAGGCATATGGGGCGTAAGTGGGGCAAGTTCCTCCTCTCTGTCCTTTCCCTCCTGCCCTCACTACCTCGTGTTGTTCGCAATGCAAGCGACGTAAGCCTTGAGTTCCCGCGGACCATGTGGGCGGCGCAGCCTTGTGCTCCCGCGCAGCCTGGATTAATTGCTTTGGGGGTGACATTTCTCTGCGGCCCACCAAAATTTTCTTGCGGACCGCCAATGGTCCCTGGCCCACTGGTTGGCGACCACTGGTCTAAAAGCGTAGTACAAGATGAAGAATGCAATGGCTTATTTTCCAACTTAATAAATAAGGAATAGGGTTTCTTTTTTAAATTGAATCATAAAGGTTGAAGGTGGAAAGCCGGGCAGATATTTGAAGGATGACAATAGCCTGTGACTTAATCTATTTCTCTGCCCTTTGGAAGATGTTTTGCTGAATTCCAGTACCCACTAAACTGGCACTGATGAGGACACATGCTTCACGGCCTTGGTTTTGCCCTAGAGTAAAACCCATCATTTTGTCAGGGCAGACACAACTCATTACTTGTAGGGTTTCAGGTTCCCTGGTAGTTTTCAGGGAGTGAAGACTTGAAATGCCATGACCTTTTCTAAGAAGGGGGGAAAATGCCACGAAAACGAGGAGGGCGATGTAAGAGAATAGGTTGAGGAAAAATATAAATCTCTCTCTCTCTTTCTCTCTGTCTCTCTCTCCCTCCCTCCTTCCCCAACTGCAGTGGTTCACTTAACAAATGTGACAAGAAAAGTGATAAAATGGGAACAAAACCCATTTAACAAATTCCTCACTGAGCAACATAAATTCTGGCCTCAATTGTCATAAGTTGAGGTCAGCTACCTTTACATGGCAGTGCCCCAAAATTCAATTGGTGGAATGAAACTCCGCTTCCATTGGCTGAGTAATTTCTCCCTCTCTTTTTGTGGACTCGGTGAAAAATTGTCTTCTAGTTAGAAATACGGATGCAAAATAATCCCAGACGAGATACAAAATGAGACAGTATATTTGGCAAGACAGTATATTGGGAATGGACACTTCGTTATGGTCATTGCTTCCTTCCTTAAGACAGGAGACAATCGGGAAGAATGGTGAACTATGTACTTTGAAAAGAATAGAATAGAATAGAATAGAATAGAATAGAATAGAATAGAATAGAATACTTTATTGGCCAAGTGTGACTGGACACACAAGGAATTTGTCTTGGTGTAAAATACTCTCAGTATACATAAAGAAAAGGTACATTTGTTAAGAATCAAGAATCATAATGTACAACACTTTAATGATAGTCATAGGGTACGATCAACAATCAAATCATACTAAGAAACAGTCAAGTGGGAGGGGATGGGTGATAAGGAGTGATAAGAAGATTAACAGTAATAGTAGTGTACACTTTGTAAATAGTTGAACAGTGTTGAGGGAATTATTTGTTTAGCAGAGTGATGAAAAAAGAAAAAACAACAACTATAATTACAT